ATGAACAAGACTTAGTGACATGTGTGTATGCGCTGACTGAACTTAGGAGGTGGATCAGAGATCTATTATAGGTCATGTTTGTTGACTTAGAAAAAGAAGAAGAGTTGGGATGAGAAAGTCATAGTTCATGTGATCAGATGTGATTGTTTATGTATCTTCCAGACTAGTACCAGTGACCTGTTTCATCCTAGAGTTGGTTTGTTGTGCCAAGTGGCTTGTTTCGTCACTTTGGTCAGTGACCTGTTTCGTCACCCGAGTTTTGTTTGAGTTCGGACCAGGTCAAAATCGGATTGCGTGTAGTCCTCTAACCCCTGTTTCGCGAGATTGGATGCGCGTAGAGGATTTATGAACAGTTAGTTATCCGATGATATGAACATTGATTCTATGTGAGATGTGGACCAATAAGCTATTATATGATGGCTAGTTGTATGACCTTGATACTTGGATGATTATGGATTCTTCTAATTATTATACTCTAGTGGTGGATTGCATCTAGCTTATTAGTATTCCGGCTGTATGTTTCTATTCATTATTACTGTTATTGATTTTGGTCGTTCGACCGTTTCTTTTCTCCCTTGTGGGATCTGGCCGTGTTCCATGCACGCTAACGTACTCCTGTTCTCTCGAGTTGTATGTCAGATTTAGAAGATGGACATGTCCAGCTTGGAAATATGCCAGAGCCATAGTATCCTCAGCAGGAGTATTTTGCAGAGCAGAAGAAGAAGAAGCCGAAGCTTAGTTATTTCCTTTAGTTGTTCGATGGTCCTTGTTTATCTTTATAGCACCTTTCTATTTTTGTTTGATCGATGTATTTTTATATCTCTCTAGTATTCAGTTGGATAGTTTTGTATAAGGGCATGTTGACCCGAATATTATGTCTGGGATGATATTTCAGTTGTGATATGTATTATTTTATTTTAAGTTGTTTATTATATTCTCGCTACTATGATCAGGGACCTGTGCCTTCGATTTATATTGCTTGACACTTAGTGTATTAGATTGAGTAGAAGGTCTAGTACTTATTTCTCTTTAGTCTAATACGTCACAGGCTTGTTCACGTTTCGATTCCCCGGTATTTTGGGAAGCGGGGCGTGACACTCCTTTAAGGAAGCAATGAATTCTCCCGAATCTCCTTTCTGGAAAAAAGCCATTGATAGTGAAATAAAATCAATAATGAATAACCATACTTAGATACTCACCGACTTACCTCCAGGTTGTAAACCTGTTGGTTATAAGTGGATATTCAAGAAGAAACTTAGAGTTGATGATTCCATTGATAAATATAAAGCTAGATTAGTAGCTAAATGCTATACTTAGCAAAAGGACATCGATTACTTTGATACATATTCTCCTGTAGCCTGAATCTTAAGTATTCGAGTATTATTAGTCTTTGCTACTATTCATAAGCTGACCATACATCAGATGAATGTAAAGATTATTTTTCTAAATAGTGATTTAGATGAAGAAATCTATATGAACCAACCTGAAGGCTTCATTGCCAAATGTTAGGAAAATAAAGTCTGTAAACTTGTTAAATCTCTGTATGGTCTAAAACAAGCTACTAAACAATGACACGAGAAATTTTACAAAGTCATTGCATAATATGGCTTCAATGTGAATGAACACGATAAGTGTGTCTATTCTAAAGTGATAAACAGTGACTATGTCATCCTCTGTCTCTATGTTGATGATATCATTATCTTTGGAATAAGTCTTAAAGAAATTTTAAAGGTTAATGATTATCTCTCCAAGAACTTTGATATGAAAGACTTAGGTTTTGCTGCCATGATACTTGGAATAAAAATTACTAGAAACACTAGAGGAATATCCTTGAGTCTTTCTCATAGTATTGAGAAAATGCTGATCAAATTCAATTTTTATAACTCTAAACATGTCTCTACACCTTATGAATCTTCTATATCTTTGAAAAAGAATGAAGGTGAACCTATCTCACAGCTAAAGTATTCTCAGTTGATTGGATCTCTCTTGTACATATCCAACCGGACTAGACCCGATATAGTTTATGTTGTAGGGAGACTGAGCCGGTATACCAACAACTCTAGCAAAGATCACTAGATTGCCTTAGAGATTGCCTTAGAGAGAGTATTTATATATTTGAAAGGCACAGTTGACTATTTCTTGACTTATACTGGATACCCTGATGCAATAAAAGGGTATAGTGACGCTAATTGGGTCACATATTCCAATAGTGTAAAGTCTACATCTGAATATGTATTTTTTTAGTGGTGCAACTATATCTTGAAAATCTTGTAAGCAAATAGTAATTGTCAGGGGCACCATGGAGTCTAAATTGATTGTTCTTTATATCACTTGTACAGAAGCAAAATGGTTAAAAGATATACTCTCTGAACTGCCTTTGGTCCCTAAACCCTCTCCTCCAATTTCTATTCACTCTGATTCTAGATCTACCATAGAACTTCTAAAGCAAATATATGTAAATAAAAAACTTAACATACATATTCAAATAAGATATAAGTCTGTACAATGCCTGCTAGACAAAGTTATGATTCTAGACTTTGTAAAGTCTAAAAAGAATCTTGTTGACCCATTGACTAAGGGTCTATCCAGGAGTGTGATTATGGATTCATCAAGGGGGATATGGTTAAGCCCATAGATGAGGTCACTGACAGCAGGAACCCAACCTTTATTTGGAGATGTAGTCCCGATATAGGTTCAATGTGGTAGAAACAAGCTAGACTAGTGATACTCGTGTGAAGCATCGACCTAGATATATTTATATATCATTATAGTAGCATCTGTTGCTACCCCTTCTCTATGGTGATGATGCTCTTATGATACAGCTAGTTAGGTTGAGTTTTACTCTTAATAAGTCTAACGTATGTATTGTGGAGGGTATGATATCCAGCTGTAGTACCCTTGGAGGACTTACTTACGTGAGAGGAATCGTGATGGCCATGGTTGGGGGGGCTGGGCTAACCCCTAGAAACTCTCATGAGTTGGTTATTGTGAGCATGACCTTTAACGTTTAAACCGTTTTGCCAAATAGATGAAGACGTATTGTGTGTGTTTTCATCAATACCCAGTACAATGGGCCTAATTCAAGGCCTAGTCTATTATGTCCCTCAGGTTGTGATGAATTTATTAAGAAAATGTTTAAAACCGAAAGCTACCTCTCCTGAATTCACGATACGAAAGGTTGCCCAACATATATTTATTTTGTGATTTATTTATTTATTTATTTATTGAGTTTCCAGTCAAATATTGCCTTTTAGGGGGGATTGTTGGCTGTGTTGTGGGAGAAAAGGTAATTTTTACCTTCAATGAATAGTCCCACATGGACTAAGTTAGTGAATAGTAGAGGGTTTACATTGGTTCTCCTCTCTTTGGGCTTTGAGGGTCCCCAAGAAGGGGGTGTTTTGGGCTTTTATTTTTTTGGGCTTTGACTAATACACACACCCGTGCACGCACGCCTCGTCTCACCACATCGCCCGCCCGCCACACCGCACCGTGTCGTGCATGCACGCACGCCATGTTTTGAAATTTTCAAATTTTCAACTTCTTTTTACACGTTTTTCACATGGAGAACGTGTGTAATTGTTGCACGATTTTTGGTGAACATGCAAACTGTTGAAAGTTACCCGCGAATCTAGCGAACGTTACGCGAGGATTTCTCAACGGCTAAGGGTTTCTCAAATAACCTATATATACCATCTCTTACTAGCTCGGAAATACACAACAACGAAAGTTCTTCTCCCTCTCTCCTATCTTCAAAACCCGAGAAAATTCTTTACTCTTCTCCTTCTCAAAATTTGCTACTGTTACTTTTTTTTTGGGCAATCTTCTTCATCTGAGCAGAATCTCTATACTCTCGCCCGAGTACAGAGGCCAGCTGTTTTTGAGGGCTTTTACCGCTAGGAGAGAGAAGATCATCTGCGTCAGGGCGAGGCGGGTCCTTAATCTTCTAGGATAGTGCTTGCACGACTGCTATCCGATCATGCCAGACTTTTCTGTTTATTTTATTTTCGTAGCATGTTATAAGTTAATTTAATATTTCTCTAACAACCTTGATATTTTGGTATAAAACAACATGAGGTAGTCTAATGTGCCATAACTTCTTACTTTGGATAAGTTATTTGGTGTTAATGTATATAATATCTGTTCGCTTTGTGCTCATTGCCCTGAAGACTATAACCACGTGTTTTCACTTGTAAATATCTTCAGAGGTATGGAATGAGACGATGATGTGTGCATGGTTGGGTCTCAAAAAAAGAACACTTAATTTGGGGCAATGATTGCAGTGGTTTATAACTAATTGGAAGGGGAATTTATTTGATTAAGTAGTGAAGAAAGCAGCTCTTGCTATACTTTGTGCACAGTTTATATCCATTTATCATGCTAAGTTCCTTCTCAGTTTCAAGGATGGGTTGACTGACTCTCTTTGTTGGTGCTATGTTGTATGGGAGTGTCATATGTGTGGTAGTTTTGCAAACTCGTTTGTCTAGTTTGTGTGATTTGCAGTATTCAGGCATGCTTAAGCTAACATGCTGCCGTAAATAACGCTATTGGTGAATGAAAAAATTATGTTCATTGCAAAATTCACAATTAAAGAATTATGGTTATCTTTTCCATGAATAAATATTACAGTTAAAATCAAATCTATCTTCCCGTTACCAAAATAAATCCCGCAGCATCGTGCAGATGTATAATGAACTAATTGTGTTGTATATTGTATATATAAGGTCCTATGTGTCTATCACTTTATTGAATCCCTTTGTAGTACTGTAAATATCAATCCAAATTAGACTCACCCGTAGTTGGAACCATCACTCATGGATTAGTATCGATCTCTTCCGTAATAACCCTTAAAATGCTAATTGGATACTTAACGTTCCATCAAATCAAGGATGGATTCATCTCCTTGAACTGTTCAAGATAAACAGTGAAAAAAATCCTGAAGCTGCTTTCTATGCATTCATAGGAAGATAAATCAATTCAAACGTAATAAATAAACTAGCTAATTAAGAAGAGGAAAACAAATCTAAATTAATGACCATGAGATTAATAACATTGTTCTTGCTAGTTAATATCTTATCGTAAAATCTTATTTAACCTAAATAAAATCATGAAAACAAATAGAGACATGGGTTATTGTTCAGGAAAGAAATTGCACTACCGTCTGCTGCAAGATCATATAGCAGAAAGCAACCCACATGCATGAAGGAATAGTGCTCTAAAGGATCTCAACTGCCACAATATTATCCACTGCACATTCCTACCAACTGAACTCTGTCCCTTTCACCTAACAACAATTCCAACACAAAACCCTAGAAGCAAACAGACACCTCATCTTGCTTAATATCCATTGCTTCCATTATCTTCTTTGCGATTGCCCCTGCATACACTGAAGAACCCTCGTGGATCTGCATCAAGTTTCACAACAAATTAATATAAAATAAATTTATATTAATTATTGAACTCTTCGTTAGTATTTGAAAGAATTTATTGTTATAATCTTTGTAAATAGAGAATTTTATTTTCAATCCGTTTACATAGTTGGACCAGAAAGCCCCTATATTTGATATGCTTGGTAATTAAGTGGGCAAAATTACTTTGTTTAGGGTGCAAACTGCGAACTTAAATTATCAAACAACACCTAATTATATTGAAGACGTTTTACAAATTTGCCTAATTAATTAAGTTCAGTGAGAGAAGAAAAGCAAGCACCTTAGTGTTGAACATGAAGACATGGAGATCTCCAATATTTCCTCCAGATAAATGAAGCATCTCAAGCTCAAGCTCGTCAAGAACCCTGGCAACAACAAGCAGGCAGTCAATGTTCTTGTGTTGAGTGAGCTTGATGAACACCTCATCTTCGACAATGCGGACATCTACATGAGTGTCTCTTGATTTCCTTTGCAACCATGAGCTCCTCAGTGCTCCCTTGAACTCTTGAAGGGGCTTCATGCACGTGCTATCCACGTCATCTCCGCCAGCCTCAGCTTTCTGGATTTCAGATTTTCGACAACGGCGTTTCTTGTCCACCAGTAGCTTGAGCTCGTTGACTGTTCGTAGGAGTTCTTGGACGTAGTTGATTGTGTCTGAGATTATTGTCGCTCTATCGGGCTTTTACGAGAAGGAAAATGCCATATATTAGAATAAATTGGGGAAAAAATCAGCATGTTAAAGGTTGGTAGTCGTTAGAATTGAGAAGTGTGCATGTTGTTATATATCTGGAAGATGATATAAAAAAACTTCAAAAAAAAAATCAACATCTAATTAACCGCTGTAACTTAAGAGTATGTTATGTTCCTAAAAAAAAATGAAATACAGAAGCATAATGGTTCTTGCCTGTTAGAATATATTTCAAGAGTACTGTTTTATTTTCAAAAAGGATGGGAAATCAAAAACAGGAAAAAAGGGGGAAACTTAGCAATATATATGTGTCAACATTTGTTTTAATACTTTTCTATATAAAGAACGCATGCAGTGTCTAATTATAAAGTCGACCTATTTGCGAATGCAATCATGCATCAACCAGAAAAAATATTTAATCATGAAATAAAAAAACACAATGTTTGTAATTGGAAAACTGAAAAATGACTAATGCCTAGGACACTATATAGGCTAGAGTTTTGCTGATCTCTCAGGCCAGATGCTAACTGAATATGCGAAGATTCATCAGGTAATTGATTTGGTATATAAATGAAAGAAAACGCTTAAATAAGTATAATCAACCTTCAAATTTGTTGTTTTTTTTTTAGTGAGAGATTAATACGAAGAAACAATAAAGTACCTTAGAAGGGTTAGGGATGAGTGCTTTAAGGACTTCGTACTTATTGCTCAACCTCAATCTCCTCTGCTTCTCATTCTTAATCCCTCCCTTCCCCTCTTCATGACCTCCTCTCTTCTTTCTCTTATTACCCAACCCTGCTACCCCCTCCTCATCAACCCCCTTGACCCCACCATAACCACCATCATCAAACACCAAGCACCCCCCGTTACCCCCCTGGCCCATCACTGACTGAAACATCGTCGCCGGGTCATAATACATGGCCGCCGCGTCCACGGGGACCTGATCCCCGACGATGAACCCGTCGTGGTGGACGTTTTCGAGGTTCATCATCCGGAACATCATCAGGGTGCTGGCCGCCTGCGCCTAAGAACGACAAGTCTGAGTAGTTCATGGCAGTTATTTGCGAGTGGTCAGCCCCCGAGTGATGATACATGACGACAGTGGACTTGCCTTGATCTGCGTCGAGAGGGGGGAAAAGATTAAGTTAAGGGACAGAAGAACTATGGAATATTTTGACCTGCAGGGAACGAAGAAATCTTACTGTCAAAATGAAGAAAGGGCCGGAGAGGGGAGGAGAAAGCAGTACGTGGTTTCTTGTGTAGGGGGATGGGAGAAAGAAATCAGTTGGTGTCCTTTTTGAATTGTGTTGAGTGAGGGGAGAGAGAGAGAGAGAGAGAAAGGGTTTGTTACTGAGATTCCCTCCTCATGGGACCCGATACCTACTCCTCTGCAGGTGGGCCCACATCCTGGCAACAAAATCTTCCGTATTTCTGCACCTCGTTCGAGTACTGGCCTGGAGTTGGTTCGTACAATACCTCGATGCTTGTTTTTCTTTGTTACTTTATATTTCTCTTTTTATTACCAGAAATGTTCTAGCATACGTACGTATACTCTGCAGATTGTTTCACTAAAATATAACAAAGACTAGCAGTTACTGTACCAGTTTAATTTTTTTTCCATGAAAATCAAGTTGCTGCAATTTGTGGGGAAAAATTTGCATCACAAAGAGGAATTTACTCTTCATCATAAAATAGTGGTAATAATGCAAAGAAAGTAGAGTGTAAATACTAAAATCTGAACAGTTGAGTAAGGGATCTCTCTCTCTCTCTCTCTCTCTCTCTCTCTCTCTCTCTCTCTCTCTCTCTCTCTACTCATGCACTTCTAACCGAGAGCTTTACTGTTAATAGAATCTAGAAAGAAGTTGGATCATGCAATTTGAGCATGCCCCACTACAAATTAAGTTGTGAAAAAGGGGCTATGTACACTAAGGAGGTCCTTGCATATATTTGATTGATGTAACCCTCATTATCACAATCTAACATATTCTAACAACATAAACTCATATATAATTAACTTACATTTGGAAATAAATGGCATATCTAGCTTTAATGTAATGAAGATGAATATATTTCTATAGCTAGCTAGGTCTCAATACTACTAGCTAGCTATCTGATAATCGATACAATTTTGATCAAACATATATTCCTACATTGGCACTAGTTAAGTTACCTTCCAAAACTATATATAATCTTTAATTATGCAAGTACATTCTTCTTAATTAGAAGCAACCAGACATTTAGTAGAACCAATGCATAAGATCCAAATTTTGTATTACACTAAATGTAGTTTGTTCATCGGCGCTCCATCTACCAGAAGAAAAGAAGAAATAATAGAGATCAGCTGTTCAAAGAATAAAGAATAAACGATGACAAAAATTCAACTGAAATCCACTTACAATTGGATCCTTAATTGGTCCAACAGGCTGACAGACAGTGAGTTAGCAATTAATATACATCAAGCAAGATTAATACTTAATTTTGAAATATTAATTTTGAAACTAACACCTTTGTTACACATAAAATTCCAATTCATAAGTTAAATTAGATTAGAATTACTTGCTTAATTGAAATTACTCCATTAATCTCATTCATGTAAGAAATTAAGTTGTTGAGTGGAGTAATTCTATGGCTTTCAATTCAATGTTTGTAGCCTGGGGTTCGCAAGGAAGGAATAAACTAATTGCTGAAAAACTTAATATATATATGAGAAGAAAATTGAAATTATGTTAACCCAGGTCTTATAATTAGTCTAATTAAGGATCATATAAATACTAACATGAATTGAGGGTAAGTTTTATCCCTGAGTAGATTGTATCGTAGCATAAGATAAAAAACCTTGATTAATTTCTTGAATGATGCGTGATTTAAATGAAGAGTTCTTGAATACACTGGCAATCAAGAGAAGTAATTACTGAAATATGTTCATATGTGAGTCTGTTTTCGCATCAAAGTGTGAACCAGAAAAATTAATGACGAGTTTAATAATGTTTTTAGCCAAACCTTTTAGATTAAATGCGATTTCTAGCTTTTCATTTAAAAATAAAATAAAATTCTAGCTTATCTCCAATGATTCCTAGCAAGTCAATAGAGTTTCGTCTTCTTTATTATTTTTCTCCTACTCGTGTTGATGCTGTTAAGTTGACATTAATTTTCAAATTTTATTTATGATAGACAATTTCATCAGTGGTAAATAAAACATTTTTTCATTTTCTCAGACAGTTCGTGATTAATAAGAGCTGTGCTAGCTCAAGTCCAAATTGTGACATTTATATAAGAAGATTAAAATGTTTTACACATGCTTTGTCTTTAGCCTACGTAGATGTTATTCAAGTTAAATACTCATATGGAGAGAATTGACGAATTTGTAAGAGTCTCATATATATATTTAACTCTTGATGAATTATTTAAAAAAAGTTCATGAATTGGGTATTCTTCAGATTAGAAAAAGAGAAATCCAAATGAGATAGAAAAGCCCCCACCTACCGTCATGGGCGTTTCTCTATTAAATTAAACAGTATGAACATTGGGGGCTTAGTAGTTATGAGCCCAATTCTATCGCAATAATTAAGGGTGCAAATGGTTATGTGGCGGCAAATTAAGTTAGACATGAGCGAAGCTTACGACCGAGTTGAATGGCGTTTCTTGAAGGGTATTATGAGGAAGATAGGTTTCTTAGAGAGATGAGTTAAGCTGATTATGCAGTGTATTTCTTTCGTTACCTGCTCGATCGATTATATTGATCGAATAGCTAATTTATTTCTTCTTTGTAGCGAAGGCCTGTCAAAATTACTATATGGTGCCGAAAGAGTCAGGGAATTACATAGTGTATCTGAGCTTTGCTACAGGGACCCAAAATATGGGACCAATAGGGGGGACAAGTGTGGTGTCCCCCTCCTATTGGATAATGAGTAGGCCATCATTAATGATGACCAACTTATTATCAAATAGGAGGGGGACACCACACTTATCCCCCCTATTGGTCCCATATTTTGGGTCATTAAAGAATTTTTCTAGTGTATCTATATGCAGGAGTAGTCCTGCTGTTTCTCGTCTCTTTGTTGCCGACGATAGCTCGCACTTCTTCAAAGGCCTCTATGTCTGAACGTGTCAAATTGCAACATATTTCGCAAGTTTATGAAGTTGCATGCACAGGGTCAGAAGACTAAATATGACAAGTCGATCCTCTCTCTTTTTCAGTCACAATGTTTCAAGCGCACTCAGAAACTGTATTCGCCAAAGTCTTGGTATTCGTGCTACATTTGGGAAGGGAAGTGTTCGGGACTGCCAGTAATTAATGTTTGGAAGATCAAAGAAACAATCTTTTAGTTATATTCAGGAGAGGATGTGAAAGAAAGTGATGATTGTTGGGCTCTGATACCACTTGTTGTGCGTGGCGGAAGCCAAAATCAAACCTGTGAATGATAGTGACTTGTGGGGGCCACGAGACCATGAGTGCAGGGATTTGTTGGTGGCTACAGTGCAAAGGCAGGAGATTGTTTTTGAGCGCAAACGAAGGTTTTGGCTGCGGTCTTTTGCGGCTACAGGAATTTTTGGGCGGCAAATCCCTTTTGTAGTTGTTCTTTTTGGCGGCTGTCCTTTTGAGAGAGATTTTTGTGTGAGGGATCTGAGAGTTTGTGAGAGGGTTTAGATTGAGAGTGATTATAAACCCTAGTTGTATTCTCTCCCTCTATTAGTAGATCTCCCTCCTCCTTGCCCCGTGGACGTAGGCAGTTTACCGAACCACGTAAAAGTTATGTTCTTACCGTGATTTGTAATAGCTTGTAGGTTCCCTCGACGCGCAGTCCTAGAGCTGACGAGAGGAAGAGCTGATATCTCACTTTGATGAGATATCTGGCTTTCTGGTTCTTGTTTCCTTTGAGAAACGAAAATTTTATTGTGATCTAATCTCTTGTTGTGCACCTTGTGCACCTTGCGCACCGGAGGTGCTGTCGAAATTTCCGCTGCTCACAACAAGTGGTATCAGAGCTCCGGGTTAGACTTGGGAGTTTGTTTGAAGGATTCGCTGAAGGATTCCTATTTGAAGATTAGATCGACAACATGGGTGAAACAAGCACATCGGGATCATCTCTTACGAAGACGATACATAGTTTGAGCATCAATAACATGAAGATTGATGTTCCGAAGTTCGACGGCAAGATTAACTTCGGATTGTGGAGGTATCAGGTGATGGACGCCTTGGACGCTCAGAATTTGGAGGAGACTCTTGAGTTACAAGAGAAACCTGCCGAGATGGAAGCTAAGGTTTGGAAGAAGATGAATAGTAGGGCGTGTGGAGTTATTCGGTCATGCTTGATGCCGGATCTTATTTATGACGTGATGAACGAGACGTCGGCGAAGAAGATGTGGGAAACACTCAATGAAAAGTATCTTACTAAGAGCATTGAGAATCAGCTTCACTTGAAGAAGAGGTTTTACCAGTTCAAGATGAAGAGGGAAGTTTCCATTAGGGAGCATGTTAACAACTTCACAAAGCTACTTTCAGACATGGCCAATGTGGATATCATGGTTGAGGATGAAGACAAGGCGATGTTACTTTTGTGTTCGTTGCCCGATGATGATTATGGTACTTTTGTCCTAACTATGATTAATGGAAGAACTACTGTTAGTTACAAGGATGTGACCTCAGCGTTAGTGAATTATGAGTTGAGGAAGAGTGTGGATGAGTCCTCCGAGAAGGCATCGAGAGATGCATTAGTAGTTCAAGGCCATGGTTCAAACCAAAGCAGAAGGTCGCGGTCTAGAGGTGCACATCGTAGGATTCGTAGGAATCAGTGTACCTTTTGTAAAGAGGATGGACATTGGAAAGCCGAATGCTCAAAGTTAGATCGAGCCGAGAAGAATAAGGGGAAAGCTGTACAAGCTTCAGAGGTGAATGTTGTCAAGACTAGTGGCAATAATTCAGATTCGGATTCTTCAGGCTATTCGTTGTCTGCACTACCGTCAGTTTGTGTTGCCAACTCTACAGAGTGGATGTTAGATTCGTGTGC